ACTTAAAATCCCCCCCAAATCATTTTCTATTTTTTATATTTTCTGAAAGCAAACACCCTGTAGAATTAAATGTCGGCAGTTGCAAATTTTTATGTCGCACGATATTAGCGTAACTCTTTATCAAGCCCAAATGTGCCCATTCCTTCCTGCACTCAGCGCTGGAGGATTAGAGAAGGGAGGGGGGAATCCCTGCGAGGAGCGGTGACTGACAGTCACCGCTCACTGCAGGGAGACGATCGGGAAGTGAGCAGATTGGTGGCATGTTTCTGCTCACTTCCCGATCGATAGGGGCCGACCTGTGGCAGCTTCTTTGTCACACACCAGCGCTAACTATGAGGATGAGTGGAAATCACTCACCTCATAGATCTCCTTTAAGTTACTTTTAGTGCCCATAAACACGAATTAATACCCATTTTTTTGTATGATAGATGAAGTTACGACCAGTAAATAGATACCCAACATAACCAGGTTAAAAATTGCGTGCATCCGTGAAATGGCGACAAAATACGGTACCCCAAACTGTCCATTAACGACGCTTTAGAAGCCTGTACAGATCATAAGTTTAGAGATAACTGTGAATATTGGCCCTAAAAGCTCGAGCTCTGGCGCCAGAGTATAGACCCCTAGTGTCATCTTTCCACTCCAGAGAAGCCATTGGAGTGCAGATCGTGCTCCAATAGCTTATTGCCAATGACAGTTGAGGGACCGGAAGTGATGCAACCAGCATCAGCCTTTCTCCTTCCGCACTTCCAGACGGCACTTGAGATGCCAGTTCGGGCCTGCAGGAGGGGCAGCGGAGCCCGAGAAGCAAGGCGGGGGCCGCACTTCACTGGCCCCTGAAATAGTTCTGGTGGCAGCTCAGCCGAGTCGGCTTTACACTTGTAAACAGAGTCCTGGCGGCTTTACAGGGGCTTGCTGCCAGCGACATATGACATACATCTGTGCCATCGAAAGGGTAAAAGATGACCATGCAAGGTCTACTTATACCGTCCAATCTGTACATTTTGGACATCCATGAGCAGGCGACTTTTACAGGGGAAGAGGTTTGGACATTTTGCATCTTATATTGTACAGCAAGGTCGGCTTCAAGAGTTCCTCTTGTGTCTATAACACAGGAAGTGAAGAGAAATCTCAAATGTGACACAGAAAAAAAAAAAGTTTCGATAGCTATTTTATTTTGGTCCTCCTTGACTCCATGGCAACCAGGTCACATTACTAAACACCTACAGATGTTATTCAATTAAAATCTATTAAAAAAACAACAAAACAAACAAACTCTTGCCTTTTTCCCTTCCACCCCTGGCTGACAGAAGTACTCGCTCACTCCGGCATTCTTGATCATGGAGAAGGGCCATGACATCAGCACACAACCAGCCCACATGACATTTCCCCGCCTCGGGCCTTCCCCCACTGCGGAATCCCCGGGCTTGCGTGATCGCAGTTACCGGCTCTGTAAACGGCCTAGGCGGGAAGGACGTCACGAGGTGCTGACCGGAAAAAAAGACAGCGAGGGGCGCCTGCGGGGAGGCCGAGGCCCTGAGTCAGCAGTTTGTGTATGTAAACGTTTTATTTCCCCCCCTACAGGGTATGTGAAGGGAGAAGTCCGAGTATGTAAACAGAACGCTGCTGATAATAAATCATGGCATTATTGGTCATGTGCAGGAGATGTGATGTGTAAGATGGACACTGTTCATGACACAAAACAACTATTCCAGGTTTATATATGTGGCAGTCAGACTTCACTGGCCTGGATATGGTATAAAATGTGAAATCTGTGACTTAGGTGAGGCCGGCCACATACACATAACAATAAACCTTGGCTCTATGGTTTGAAAACGATTGTTTGACACAACAAAGAAAGTGACTGATTCTGGAGGGTGAATAGCTCTTCCGCTAGGAACACTGCACGTTCCTTGTCAGGAATGAAGATCATTTATCAATCAGATCAGCCTGGGGGTGCATAGACATGCCGTATGAAAATATGGCAGCCAGTTCATAGGATCTTACTGGTAGAAGCTGGTATCAAGATCCTGGGTAAAACGTGCTCAGTATGCATGTAACTTTTCTGCATTGTATACATGTGTATAGTGTGAAGGTGCCCTACTGGTTGCTGGGATGCTATGCATCTCAAGCCACCTGCATCCTAGCAACAAAGGACTCTAGGCGGGAAGGGGCTACCTGCATCCTAGCAACAAAGGACTCTAGGCGGGGAGGGGCTGCCTGCATCCTAGCAAGAAAGGGCTCTAGGCAGGAAGGGGCTGCCTGCATCCTAGCAACAAAGGACACTAGGCGGAAAGGGCTACCTGCATCCTAGAAACAAAGGACACTAGGCGGGAAGGGGCTACCTGCATCATAGCAACAAAGGACTATAGGCAGGAAGGGGCTGTCTGTATCCTAGCAACAATAGACACTAGGCGGGAAGGGGCTGCCTGTATTTTGGCAATGAAAGATGCTAGGTAGCTTGAGCCAACGCCTACCAAGGAAGGACACTAGGCAGCTCATGCCACCTGTGTCCTAGCAACAAAGAACTCTAGGCAGCTTGAGCCGTCTACATCCTAGCAACATAGGATGCTAGTTGGGTTGAGCTAATGCCTAGCATTGAAGGACTTTAGGTGACTTGAGCAGATACCTAGCAATAATGGACTCTAGGCAGCTCGGGCCAATTGCACCCTAGCAAAAAAGGATGCTGGGTAACTTGATCCAATGCCTAGCAACAAAGGATGCTCGGTGGCCTGAGCCACCTGCATTCTAGCAATTAATTCTGGCGTGTGATGCGCTGTTTCAGAAATCTACTGCAAACAGGTAGAAAGATACATTCATATAGGACTCCTTTTCCCATATGGTGGAGGTGTCATAGGTTTGCAGATCTGTGTGGATTTTTGTAATGTGCAATCTCGTGCTGTTTTAGCACACTGCAGATCCGCAGGGCAATCTGTTGTAACATGCGGGCTGGATACTACTAAACGTAAAGGAATTTACTATAACTACTTAAGATTTGGAAATTACATTTTTTAGATTCTTTCTGCCTTTCTTCAGAAACTCAGATGGTTTATTATAGAACAGAAATAACAGGAATCTGATTAAAGGAGAATTATGGGGTTAGGGCTTTTCCCCATAGTTCTCCTCAGGGTAACGGGAGGACACAAACTAGCATCCTCCCGTCACCCTAAGCTCAGTATACCGCAAGTTGCAGCTCGCGGTATACTGAGACGCCGCAGCTGAAGCGGATCCCGACAATTATGTCTGGATCCAGCCAGCTGCGTGAGTGACAGCTGGATCTGCCTATCTAGACCTAACCCGCCCCTCCCCGTCCGTTCCGCCAGTCAGCGCTGGAGGATCAGACAGGGGAGGGGAGAATCCAGTCACTCCCCTGTCACGGCTCTCTGCAGTAACAGGATCGAGAAGTGAGCGAGCGCCGGTATGTGTTCGCTCACTTCCAGATCTACTGAGCCGACCTGTGACAGTCTCATTGTCACAGGTCGGCTAGATCTATGAGGCTGAGTGAAAAGCACTCACCTCATAGTTCAAATTTAAGAGCTGCCTTGTTTGTACTGATCGCCCTTTGACATCTGTTTATATCTGTGGGTGATTTCCATGGTGCAGAGGACAGAAATGTTTCTACCATGTTTTCAAATAATATGTACAGTCCAGAGATGCAACTGTTTTATGTATACATTCAGGGCCGGATTTCCCACAAGGCCTGGCCTTGGGGCAGCAGGGAGTAGAGGGACAGCAGGGGTGTGGGATTCCTATCTCCCAACGCCCGGGACATGCAGTTCTGGGCACCGGGCGGGTAGTTGTTTTCTACATTTAGCCCCGCTTTGGGCAAGCAGAGCTAAATGTACAGCGGGGAAGCTGCCGCTTGTTTTGTGCAATTGATCTCTGCGATGTCGCCAAGATCACTTGTATGCGGCCTGCATACAGGGGGGCTATATTGAGGAACCAGGCATTGGGGCAGTAGAGAGAGTAAATCCAGCCCTGTATACATTGCCTAAAAAATGAAGGTGTAAAGATATAAGGTGAGTTCCAAATCAAGGAGCCTTTTGTTGTCTGTATTTGTGAATTTGGGACACACATGCACGTTACCATTTTCTTCCATTTGTTGTATGTCTGTTCCATGTCTATGACTTAGTAGTAGCGTTGCCAGGCCAATAGCATTTTTATAAGGAAGTCAACAGTGGAAGCCCTATTTCATGCATGACAGGTGAACGTTGTTTAGGCCTGTGGAATAAGATTGAGTGTTGCAGATGTCATGGAACTGATGCCAGTAAGGGCGCAAGTGAAGGGGTAGGGATTATATGGGCAGCTGTAGCTGCAGACACAGCCTGTTGTAAGTACATAAAACAAACAAATTCCCCAGCACTCAGCTCTGCCTGTTAACAAATGGGACCTAATTAGATCCTGCTTATTAAGTGTAAATGAGAGCACTGCAGGTGCACTGGGAGCTCCTAGCTGAGGTAGCACCAGGACAGGAGGACATGTACACATGTGGAACAATGATACTGGCCAAAGGGGAGCTGGGTGCACAGCAAGTCTATAGCCACCACTGCAAAGCAGATGAGGACATATTACTTTGACATTTTTCTTTGTTTGTAGATGACCTTCATTGAGTGTCAGCTTGCATTTGTTTCACCCAGTATATGAGTGTCAATGTCTAGGTCACTTAATCCGTCAATTGATGTCACAGTCATCAGGTCACACTGGACGTCTGTAAAACACCTTATCATGTTGTTCTAAGTCTTGTTTAGTTGACCTGGAACTGCTGATGAACTGCAAATCCCAGTATACTCATTGCAGGCCATGCAGATTGTTCCTGAGCAGGCAGCATAGCTGTCTCTCCTGGAAATCTCATTCTATCCAAGTAAATACCTGCAGATCAGAGGTCACCTTTTATCAGGACAGAGCGTTTCACTGGCACTAACTGGCAGTACTTTTGTCCTCTGCAGGAAGCACAGGGACTTCACGCGGCCTCCGAGACTGCAGGGTCACACTCTGGACATATGGGGACAGATCAGGATGAGAGTGGATACCAGAGACAGTTCAATGCAGCCGTGTCGGTTATTCAAGGCTTGCCAAAAAGCGGTATGTATAACCTTCATCGTTCTGCAAAGCATAAATGCAAATGCTGTTCAAATATCAAGTTACAGAACAAATCCATTGAGAACAGATTGATGTACTCCAGGGGTAGGCAACCTCGGCACTCCAGCTGTTGTGGGACTACAAATCCCATGAGGCATTGCAAGACTCTGACAGTCACAGGCAGGCGTGCCGAGGTTGCTTACCCTTGATTGGAGTGGAGAAGGTTTGAGACCTCACCTTGGTATGTAAGGTCTCTATGACTTCATCGGTGTGTGTGCCATTAAGACCCCATTCACACTGTGCGACATGGATATTGCGCGTTTTTTGGGGGGGGTTGGGGGGGACTTCGCCGCTGCTACATTGGACTGTAACCAATCAACAGCGATCTTGATGTGACATCATTTTTTCCTTTCATTTTGCAGTGCAAAAGTGACCCTTCTGTAGCACGATATCGCGCGACAAAGTCATGCAATATCGCTGGTAATGCACGATTTTGCGCGACACCATAGAGTCTATTGGAGCTGAATCGCGCGACATCCGCGGAAAAAAAGGTCAGGCACACGAGCGACAAGCTTGAGCGACGAGCTACAGGCGACATTGAGCTGTGAGATGTGAACAGCTCCATTGAAATGCATTGGACAAGCTACATAGAGCGATATTGCGGCGTAAATCGAGCGATAAACCGCTCTGTGTGAACGGGGCCTAAGAGGCGGGTGTAAGTGGGTAGTTAGTGTAAGTGGGTAGCTAAGCCCTTTAACACCTTGTTGGGAGCGGTAATGCTGCCGCTAGTCTAATCAAAACATGTTTCACAGAATTAGAACTTGCATTCATAACGCCAGCTATGAACTTTTATACGAGTTTTGGATGGAATGGAAAAGGTTAGGATTGGAGTTAAATGTATTTTTGCTGTCAATGTTTCTGCAGTAATGATTTCCTCTCACTTCCTGTGTGGTCACTGGCACAAGAAGTGAGGGGGAATCTAACAGGGGCACAGCCATAAATCACTTTAGAGTGAGAAGTGAGGTTTAGAACCTCTTTTTGGTTTTAACTGCTTCCTTTCTCCCAACTGGCAAGATTTCCGCTAACTTTCTGTTTGGTGACTGAGAAAGAAAGTGAGGAGAAATATCTCCAAATGGGACACAGACAACAATAAAAACCCAACTGAGGTTCTAAGCTTTCCCCGCTCTACCCAAAACGTATGTAGAATGTAGAGTTCCACTTTATTGTTTTCTTCATGCAATCCCTCAAATCTACTTTTTTTCTACTTTGGCTGGATGTACTCTAGATGCTAAAAAGTAGACGCCGCTCCAAATTATTGAGATACGGAGCTCCATAAAGACATGGTTTGATGAGTTTAGTGTGGAGGAACTCACGAGTCCTGACCTCAACCCTATTGAACATTTTGGCATGAACTGGAACGCCAACTGCAAGCCAGATCTTGGCGCCCAACATCAGTATCTGACTTCACAAATGTCCTTTTGGCTGAATGGGCAACATTTCTCATAGACCCAACCCAAAGTCTAGTGAAAGCCTTCCCAGTTGATTGGGCAATCGTGTTTTGTTATCTCTTTCTAGGCTCATATCGCCCTTCCTATGAGGAGATGCTGCTCTTCTACAGCTACTACAAGCAGGCCACGGTTGGACCTTGCAATATCACCCGTCCTGGTTTCTGGGATCCTATTGGAAGATATAAATGGTATGATCTTCTCTGCTCTACCATTGATAAATGCAGTTAAGAAAGTGACTATGTTGCTTATACCAACAGCTTAGTAGATGTCAGGAAATAATACTGAGGAAATACAGCTGAAAAAAACATAGCAGATATTAGGTTAAGATATCTTTCACTTTGTTTACACTAGACTCGCTTATGGAACCACACATACCCATATATTTCCCAACTACAAAATAGTGGATGGTCTATAATATTAATTTCTGGGACCATATATATTATTTGGTGGCTAGAAGGTTGGTGCAGAGTTCAACATTCAACAACCAATTACCTTTTCTCCCAAAGATCATTCAGCTGCAGTGAAGTTCACGAAATGTCTATGGCAGGGGTAGCCAAACTTCAGCCCTTTAGTCATTGCAAGACTCTGACAGCCAGATACATGACTCCTAAAGGCAGATGCATGATTGGATTTAGAGATTCACCACAGCTGGAGGGCCAAAGTTTGGCTACCCTTGGTCTATGGCAGTGGTGGCGAACCTTGGCACTCCAGCTGTGCCAAAACTACAAATCCCAACATGCATCTGCCTCTGGGAGTTATGTATGTGGCTGTCGGAGCCTTGCAATGCCTCATGGGACTTGTAGTTCCAAAACAGCTGGAGTGCCAAGGTTTGCCACCACTGGTCTATGGGTACATCTAATGTAAACCTGTCCTAAAATACACCCTTCACATGAAGTATATCAGTCAACCTAAATCACAATGAGGGGAAGAGGGAGAGAGAGAGAGAGAGAGAGAGAGAGAGAGAGAGATATCTCTCTGTGGCTTTCCTTGTGACTGCTTCATGTCATTGGAGTCTGCAGTGAAACTCTACTGTTCAACCAGCCAGACCTTCATCTGCATGCATGTTCCAGGTAACCGCCTCAACATTCTGCAGCCAGAGACAGCCAAGCAACAACATTTGAGGGAGGTCGGAAATGACAGCCCTATATTGTCACCATTAGGATTACTATAGATGAGTGCTCAGTGCAAAATGCACTAGGTTCTTGTCTTTTTAGAAGTGCCATGCAAGCCTGCCATGGGGACCTTTCACACATAAGGAACCCACATGGGGAGGCTTTTTAAAATAAAGATCCTCCACTAATAAAGTGCAAATCAGATGTTTGGTTCAGGGAACCTTTTAGCCCTGGCACCTGAGCAAACTCATCTTTTGTATGGAATGCATGTTTTATGGCCTTTGCTTTCTGATTATTATAGATCTTTGATGGGTAGGCAGGAAAGTAAAGGTTTGTATGGATTTAATGTCAGCAGTTTTGTTACATCTTCTTCTATAATGTTTGCAGGGATGCCTGGAACAAGTTGGGTCAGATGAGCCAGGAAGATGCCATGGGTGCCTACATAAGAGAAATGAAGAAAGTAGCCCAAAAGGTGGTACACATTCCTAATAATTTCATTATAAAATAATAGGAGGAATAGAAAGTGTTTTTGTTGTTGTTAGCACTTGGTAAGTTAATGCCTGGAGGGATCAGTCCTGGAAACAACGTACAGTTTTCATAAAATAGTCCTAATGGGATTTGCTTTTTTTGGTGGAATTGTTTCAGATAGTGGCTCATGCCAGTTGGAACCTTGAAAAAAAAAAAAGAAAAACTCTGTAAGGATCAGTCCATCCAAAACTAAATTTCATATGTAGGTGGTCTTAATCAACCACTGACACCTTTCATCTTTTGGAAACTCCGGTGGTGAGATCTCCTGGGGCGAGTTGATCATTCTTTGCTGTTCTGCAAGGCAATCTAACTGCCCACTTGAGATACTTCTCTAAGGCCCCTCCTCCAGTCTAGGATCCTTTTTGGTGGGAGAGCAGTTGTACCCATGCAATCAAGCTCCATGAAAGAAATTCCTAATAAAATTGTTGTAGTTTAAGGATGTGTCCCCTGCACTCCTTACAGCGACTGGAACTGAACAACCGTGGTGCTCACAGTGATAGTCACGGATGGCGGCGCCCTGGGTATCAAACTTGTAGAAGATGAAGATCACCAGTACTGCAGTAGTAGCATTAATCCTTGTGCTTATTTATTGAAGTGAAACATCACAGCCAGAAGGCCATATCATGTTTGTGACACTTCACTTCAATAAATAAGTACAAGGATTAATGCTACTACTGGAGTGCTGGTGATCTTCATCTTCAATAGTAAAATTGTTGGACATCTTAGTGCCTCTCTCCCTTTTATAGAACTAACATTTTAAAAAATGCAGCCTTTGCTGCAATACTCACCTCCTCTCGGGCTGTAACGTAGACATTTTTGATGTCATTACAAATCATTACTATCCTTCTTTTCAGATTATCAACACAGTACCTCTGGAAGACAAAACGCCTGAGATGTTTGAGCCTTTCCGCCCCCTGTATGAAGTCATTCCAGATATGCCCCGCCCCCCAGATTCCTTTTTCAAGACTTACACTGGTAAGTAGAACTCATAATAACCTGCACATTCTTCCTGCATCTACAGTAACAAGTGAAAGCATCCAGTGACTTTAGCCTTCCATATTCATCTCAAATTGCGTCCGATTCTTGCTGGATCAGCTCAAATTCAAGCTGCAGGTGGCCCCCGTTGGCACCTCTTGGCTCTACAAAAGCGGAGGAGCCGGATGGAATAATTGTCAGCCAATCAGCAGCTGCATGGCAAGCCTTATTAATACACTTCAGAAAGCAATGCAACTGTACTAAAGTCAGATAATTCACCTGGTTTCCAGAAACCTCCTGCAGTTTACACAGTCTACTGGAAGCCTTTGCTTTTCAAACCTTTCTTTCTCCTCCTCCTTAATAGCCAATCACATCCAAACTACCATGTCAGATTCAAATCTGATTGGTGGCTGGTGAATCACATGGGCTGACTTGTAGCAACCAGTCAAAATCCTTGCTTAATTTTCCCATTGCAGTCAATTCCTTGTTGCTACGGGCATTATCCTTCGTTTTTCTGGCTCTACTTTTCATTGATCATTCCTATGAGTCCCATAGGTGAAGTGAAATGGAGCAAAAAAGGTAAACACTGATATACTGTATATGGAAAGTCATCATCGGGGTAAAGTTTAGAGTTCTGGTGGCCTAGATTAATCTTATCTCTAGGAGATTATTATCTTCCAAATAACATTCACCATCTCAATGTGTCTTGATGGTGTAGGTTAAAGGTGACCGCAAAGTCATAACGATTGCACATATGATTTTGAGAACTTTGTCCTACAGTAATATTCTGTCTGGGGATCATATCCTTTCAGAACGTTGAACAGTTGTATGGAAATTGCTTGTATCCTGTGTAAACTGACTTAAAGGACAACTCCACTTTTGTTAAAAATGAAAAAATAATAATAATATAACTTATACAATTGCTACACAAGCCATTGGGTAATTTAACACAGGGGTTTGAACTATTCCCAATTTTTATCCAAAATAAATAATACAATAAAACTTTGGCTCTAGATATACTTTAAGGTTAGGGTCAGAGGTTAGGTTTTTTTGTTAGGGGATGTGGGGGGATTATTTTTTTATACTTCTTATAAGTGCCAAAATCACTGCACGGACAACTACACTGCACTGGGTTCCCTTGGCCAAAAATGTGAACACGTTGAGGAACTTGATAGGTTTCCTTCAATGTTTATGACTTCATAATGTCCTGTTAGCTGGTTCAGTAGTAGTTCCATACATTTTAGGATATGCATATGAAGATAGCAAGCCAGGTATCTGCTACTGTTCCCTTTAAGCCACACCTATTCAGAGTTGATCATTGTTGGTGGGCATCCACAGTTGGAATAGTCCAGTCACTTCTCTTGATGACTGCACCAGTGAGAGCTTATAAGGGAAGTTCTTGCTCAGATACCAGAGTCATCAGGACTATAGTCCCCCTATTCAGCGTACTGAAGCCTACCCAAAACTTAAAAGAGCAATTCTGGGTGAGCTTTGATGGTTGTTCAGCCTTTTGTTATCTGTGGCAGACATTAGCTCTATGGGGCAGTCAATCCTGCAAAGAGACCAGTTCACATTTCAACTGAGATACTGCTAAGCATGCTCTTGTTTTCATGTTGTAGAAGAGGAGACCTTTGAAGTTGACAAGTACCAAGTGTTAAAGGAGGAAAAAGAAGAGCAATATGTATCCACACCTGAGCAAACGGACCCGGGCGCTCACTGGGGTCAGGGGAAAGAAGAGGAACGCAGTGACCCTGTAGGTCCGTGTGCCTTCTAATATCTATTTCGTAGTCACTGTTTTCTCTAATACATACTGTATATATCTGCCTGGGGTTACAATGTCTGGTGAGAATATTTTTATCTTATTAGGATGTGTAAATGCTGAAATGTGGAAAAAGGACACCCAAGTTTAAAGACGAACTCCAGGCATATGAAAGCTGCCCCACTGCAAGGGTTAAATTTCATATGTCCGGGGTTATTCTATAATTTCTCTAAATGGTCAGTGGATTGGATGAATGACACCAGCATGGCTATCCCAGGGTTCATTCTCGCCTGTGGTCATAAAACACAAACATACTAAGTAATATTTTTCTGAATGTGTGTTTTAATATTAACATCAGTATTTATCTTGAAAAGAAAAGTGCTAAGAAGCAGGTTTGGATTTCAAAAAACATGTCAGATTGGCATGTCCCATTAGAGCATTGAGATCCGGTGTCAAGAGTTTCAGAGACATCCCCCTTAGAGAGAAAATGAACTGATCTAGAATGTTCATCATTGCAGTTTAGTCAGTGTATTTAGAGCAGGATTCACCTGAGGAAACATAAGCAAAGATAAAATGTTTGTAGTCTGCAAAGCTCACCTGAGTCCAAATTCTCCACTTCATGGTAGAAACAGAGTTGATGGGCTTACGGAACTCTTTTTAACGCTGAGTATGGTAGACGAGCAATGTTGATGTTTCTATTTGTTGTGACATTTCTAGGTGAAGTTGCCCAGTCAGAAGCGGGTGACAGCAGAATGGGGAGCTGGGGTTCAGAAAATGAAGACTTCTCTGACAGTTCGGCAAGACTAGTACCTGGTCAGGTGAGGGCTAACTCTACTGTGCCCAATGCTTTCTTTAAGTGACAAAACCAGGGGCATTGCCCAGGTCCTGAAAGTCCAAGAACACTCTTGGCAACACCATGTAGGATGAAATGTTGTACAATGACACAGTAAACAGAGCTCACATCCTTTTCTGTTTTCCCTTTCTCTTTCCATTTTTCTTTCTACCAGTGTCCCTTTTCTATCCCTGATACCTTGGTTTTTGCTTGACCCCAGGTAGGTCTAGCTGCCTACTGTGTGGCCTGTAGGACCAGAGAGGATGGTTATAATACACAGTGTGCCCAACACTAGAAGGAAGTCTGTGTGTCTGATAAAGGATGCCTTTGCAGCTAAGCCCCGTAGACTGGAGCATTTTGCTTCTGTTCCTCTGACCATCTTAATAGTTAATAGTTTCAGGTCTGAGACCCAGGGCACTTAGTTGGAGACCTGGGGCAATGCACCAGAAAAAAAAAACTAATTTGATATGCCTTAGATATCCTTTCTACACTTTCCTGTGCTAGTAGACAGCGTTTTATGTTTACATTTTTCTACTTTGCAGAACTATGAAGATGAAGGCTTCATGATTAATCCACAGTTGTTTCAGGCTTCTGATACCACCCATAAAAAAGTAAAGTCTAAGTCCAGGAGGCAGAAGGATCATGACCCTGCCACAGGTATAGAGTGGGGTGTTTGATGATTGAGAGGGTGTAGGATTCATTTTGCTTTAGACATGCTTTAGACATAGAATGACAGCCAGATCTGGTGTTCAATACTGGCTAACAAAGATTTTAAAAGATTACACGATGGGCGTGGACACTGCTATACCTCATATGAGCACTGCGTGCCATTGCAGAAAACTATGGAATCTGCTAATATTTGTCAGATACGGATATCTGCTGAAAATGTGGTGTTTAGGCAGTTTGTTGTGAGTAGATGATTTGGGATAAATATGCTTTTAACAAGCCCTCACTGACCTCTATAGCTGCAGACACTGTTGAGCAATTCATTCTCACGATTTACAGCAGAAGCAGTGAAGCTGATCAAGTCTCTCAGTAGCTTAGCGTCCCCATCTCCTTTCTCTCAGCAGTGACTCAGAAGTCTTCCAGCCTTCAAATCTCTAATGTAAACACAATGCAGGCACTCTGGGATGGAAGAGCAGAGCTGCTGAGTTACTACTGGGAGGGAGGGGCAGGAGGGAGCTGAGCTATCTAGACACTTGAGCAGCTTCAGTACTTCTGCTGTGAATCTTGAGAATGAACTGCTCTATAGTTCCTGCAGCTACACATGTCAAGCAGGTGTTGTAAAGCTCATTTACTGGTTGTTATAAATATGTAAATGCTTGAATGTCCACAGCCTGGCCAAAGGTTGCCTTTCCGACCCCTCCATAATCTGGGACTCCTATTTATACTTAACAGTTTGCATCTCCTTATGTTCCTTAGTATGAGGGATGGGTTGAAACTGTCCACTGGCAGACCCCAGCACTGCTGTTGAAGGAATTAGTACTGAGAGAAGTATGCAGGCTGCCATATCTGACCTCCTTCACAAAACGCTGTCTGCCTGGCCATCTTTGGCTTCAATACTTTAGCGATCTCATCTTGGACAATCATGCAGCCAATTAAGTCAGGGTAAAGTCAGGACTCAAGATCTGCATATTATTTGTTCCTAATCAAGGACTTGCAAAGCACTGAAGGAAATTGACAGCCATATGGCTATTCTATTTGAAACACGAGGTCAGCGATGGCATCCTCCCATCTTTTTCTGAGTACAGGTTTCTTTAAACCTTATCACAGTGCTGACCCATGGGGTCCGCCTGCTCATATAAAACAGATAAATAATACATTGTATTCTGTATGGCATTGTTATTGTTCACAAACTATATACTGCATATCATTTGACTACAGTAGGCAACCAATGTGGAAGCCAGTAAAGCATTTTTGTTTAAATGAAAGGGTGACGGTATTTTTAAAAATAGCCCTTCCTGAAAATAGAACAGTCATTTCAAACCGAAATAAACTCGGATGAGTTCCGTAAGCATGTATTTTTATTTTATTTAGTGTCACCGTCCTTGGGCCATGCCTGCTTAAAGAATCCTGGTGAGTCAAGTAGCTCAGACATGTCCAGCGGATCACAGAATACATGCCGAAGTTCATCACACCACTTGAGCCCTCAGATTGCTGCCACGGTGGAGTCTCTACAGGCATCAGTTCAGGGACTCAGTCAGCAGCTAGAAGTGCTGGAACGCATATTACAGGTACTATAACATAATGACACTTGCATCAAATCTGATTAAGTAACAGAAACACTGATAATAAGAGCTGTAATGAGAAAAATGTGCTTTAATTAGAGAAATTGTGTTCCTATATTATAGGCATACGTCACATGACTCCCAGGCCTTATCTTTGGATGCATTTTTGTGTTTTGTAGGTTTACTGGTTCGCTAGCAGGTCTGAATACTGATGGTCTCATTATCTAAATCGATAATGAGAATCGCTGACAACTATTCTCATCATCGATTAGTTGATTTTTGATTAGTTGCCGCTGCTCTGCTCCTCCATTCTCCTCCCGCTGGTGCTGGCTGCAGCAGTCCGAGTCCCTTTCAATCCCCACTGCTCTCCCCATCTGTTATCAGCAGAGGCAGCGGGGACACAGACCACTGCTGCACAAGTCGGGTGCACCTACATAGAAAAACGACGATTGCGCAACACATGTCAGGTATCGCCGCATATTTTATTTTAAATTAAGGATGGTATTTTTTTTATTCGATTAATCGAAAAAATAATCGGCTAACTAATCGATTATGAAAATAGGATAGGTAATTTCCTGTCCCATAGATGCAACTGGAAGTTTGAGGAAATCCCCCCAAAGTGAGGTGAATTCCCCTCGTAGGAATTGTCCTCAGAACTGGTGTCTCTGTTGGAAGATTTCTCCTCACCTTATGTTCTGGGGATTTTCCTTCACTTTCTGTTTAGGTGACAATAGCGATCAGGACCAGCAGAAAGAGTGAACCTCCCCAAAGACAGCAATCAGAACTTGACAGAAGGTCTAACCCTTCCCCACGCCATCCAAAACTAAAAAAGGTGTTGCCTCGGGATACACTTTAAAGAAGACCATTGTCATTTTAAATCAACTATTCATCAATCAGTTTGATTCCAATTTTCTAAAACAGTTTATTTATCAAGAATAGTTTTCTAGCCCCGGCTTTGTATGTAACAGGTAATGTGACTCTCGGCTGAGAAGCAGACCTATATTGTTCATTATAGGATGTCAGGTGAGTATAACTTTTTTTATTTTATTTTCCTCCCTAGACCAAAATGAGTACTTAACCCTTGCAGTGCGGTGGCCTCACTGCAAGGGTTAATGGAAACAATTCCCCAGAGTTCTGCTTTAAAGATTTGTAAATTGAGGATCTATATAAAAATCTAAAAAAAAAGGATCTATATATTATCCATGTGACTGTCATTTTTAGATCTCATTGGACTCTGCAGGAAATTACTGTCACTTTAAAAAAAAAAAAATAAGGATCCTTAATCTGATGTGTTTGCTATGTGAATTGTGCCATATGTATTGAATACAGTGGATCTGTAGAGTCAGCATGATATGTAAGTACTGAGAACACATAGACCTGTTATATAAATCAGATCTACCCTGTAGTTCTCTACTTGTTGTACAAGTCTCTGCAGCAGGAGAGCCAAAGTCAACTAAGACTAATTATTAATGACCTCAAGAATAATAGGGCCCTCCTTACCATCTTGCCTTGAATTGTATTGTGATTGTAATGTCTTCCTTATATTGTAAAGCACTGCACAAACTGTTGGCGCTATATAAATCCTGTATTATAATAATCTCGTGAAGGAAGAGTTTTTGTTGCCTATGGCAACTATTTTGGATCTCCCTTTCACCTTCTAACCCACACTGACAGCATGAAAGGAAGAAGCCGATTGTTTGCAACAAAAACAGTCCGTCTTCCAATCGCTTCCATGCAGCTAGGGATTCTCAGAACTTGCGCCTAATCTTCCTTCTGTGTAATAATTATAGGACAGTGTTGTTTAGATAAACTTTAGTTTTATAATTTCCTGTTTATGTATTAATTTAAAAACAAAGAACCTTTCATCCCTAACAGGATCAGCAACAGTACATACGTGAACGAATACAGAGATCGTCCAAAGAGCCGGTATGGTAACATTGTGAAAGTGTGGCTGACCTAGCAGTATATAAAATGACTGTGATGAATAGATTAGGGATGCACCAAAATGAAATTAAAGTGTATGGATAGCTAAAGTTTTTTTTTTAGTTTTGGATAGAGTAGGGAAATCGAAAATAAATTTTTTTTCAAACATTTAATATAATAAATATTGCTATCAAACCAGTCAAGAATGGACAGAAAGCATCTGTACTGAACTGCTTCCTGTTCATTCATAAAGTGAGCAGATAGTAAATTTTTACTAAGTCCTCATTCATAAATGAACAGGAAGTGATGTATAGCACTTCCTGTTCATTCACAGTAATCACTATGTCGTCAGTTACTTACAAATCCTGACTGATCAGTACTCATTGCTCAGTGTCCATGCTCCGCTCTCCATTCTGACGGCTTCCCTCCCTCTGCCTGTCACTGGAGCTGAGCTCACCTCCCTGCACCGCCCTGACAGCTCTCCTCCCCTCGCACTGCCCCACTCAGCCTCCTGACAGCTCCTCCCCGCTGGGCACCAGCAACTGGATATGCTCTGTGTCCCCTCCGATCCCCGCTGCCAATGCCGACACAGGCAGGGGGCAGCAGTGGGGTTTGGAGGGGGCACAGACCGAAGCTTGCAGCCGGTGCCCAGTGGGGAGGAGAGAAGCTGAGAATGCACTGCATTTTCTGCCTTTTTTTGCCTATAGTACCCAACAGGGGATGGTGGCTGTTTAGTGAACCGGCGGCTTTGCACTGCTTGGACAGAGCACAGGATCACTTTAAGGATTATCCCAAAAAGGGAATTATATATCATTAACATAATAAAAACATTCCCATTATAAAACTAAGAAAAAAAGCAGTTAGCCTGTATATGTTCTTGATTTTTTAATATTTTCAATTTAATATCTTTACCGTATATAATGCCATTACCGTGCGTGGAGATGTTCAAAGTTACAGATATAACAAAAGAATGTATGGGAAGTACAGTAAATCAAAGCGTTCTAAGGACTAGTACATACGGTTCTTTAGTAACATGCAACAAAAACAAAACAAACAACAGGAGAGAAGGCCCTCTCTTTTCATTTGTTGTCTTTTATAAATGAACGCAGATTTCCAGGTGCTAATATTGCATGTAAGAATTTGATAAGTGGCCATATTAAGATAAGGAAAGGCTGGAAAGGCTAATCTCTCCATCTCTTGCTTTCAGAATCCCCAGCGCTCTGGAATTGGCCAGTCCCAGACCCTCCTTTTCATCGTTATCTGGCCTTTCTTCGTAAACTGGCTTCTACGAAGACTTTACGGGAGGAAAAGTTGACCTGTCTAGTGAGCCTTCTCGATAGACACCCTCCATAGAGGAGATGGACAAGAACCCGCATGAGCAGGAGCTGTTGCTTTCTAATAGAGAGCACTAAAACTAATTTTGGGGCTCGGTGACTGGAAAATGTGATGCTGCTTTGTTGATTGAGCCTGGTAACGAATAGGTTAATTGTCTTAATCTTTTCTTGTACTCTGTATAATATTGCATTGTTTTCCTTACCTCGTTTATCTCCTCCAGTATGTCTGCAGTGGCTGGAGATTTACCTGATAAATAGCCTTTTTCTTTGAAACACCCCTGGGAAAGCTAAGACAAAGGCAGCATAAACATACTGAAACCCACATACAATAGACTTAGGCACAGCAGGAGATCATACATAGTAGAGCAAGTATTGAGCTGATCAAGGAAGGAATTGATCGCAGATTTGGTCAGGACTAGGATGGGAGCACAGAGCTGGGCAGGGTTAGAAAGCGAACACAGCTGCTTTAAGATAGAAGCAAGCATAAAAAATGGCTAGGTTAAGAAAGATAGCATAGAGCTGTTGCGAATTTGGAAGCAAGCACATGGCTGTTCGGCGCTGGGAAGAGAGTCTAAAGCTGGCCTGAGATGGAAGCATACACAAAACTGATCAGGGTTAGAAAGCATGCAAAGAACTGGTCAGGAACAGAAGCGAACACAGAGTTGGTTTAACTAGTAAGTGAGCACTAAGCTGGCTAGCAATAGGAAGCAAACACACACCTGGGCAAGTTTAGGAAGAGAGCACACAACTGGTCAGAACTAGAGAGCGAGCAAAAAGCTAGACTAAGCTAATCAAGACTAGAAATCAAGCATGGAGCTGCCCAGGACCAGGATGGGAGCACATAGCGGTTAAGGACTAGGAATGGAGCTCACATTTGGTTAGGTAGCCTTCACAGAACTGATCAGACTTGCAAAGTACATACAGAGCACAAAAGAGCAGAGGAGCACATAATTTGCAAAGGTAGGATAAGATAAGCAACATAAATCTAGCCAGGATAAAGAGCACATAGCTAGGCCAGGATAGGGAGAAGAGGGCTAAACAGGGTAAGATAAACAGTAAATGTATGGTCAAACCAAAAAGCGCAGAGGTGGTACAGCAAGCAAGAGAACCAGCACAATATCTGGTCAGGACAGGTGAACATAGGGCTGGTCAGGACAGAAGAGCAAGCACAGAAATGGTCAGGCATGGATAGTGAGGACATGTCTGGTTAGGTTTGAATGGTAAGGCTAATAATGTTCATTGTTAGAGAATAGTCATGGTGCTGAAGAAGGAAGGACAGTGAGCAAAGAGTGGGTTAGGAGTGGTATGTAAACATGGAGCTAGCCATGGCTTAGGTCAGTGATACCCAACTGGGTTTCAAGGCCCACTCAAAGTGATCTCCTAATCAGGTCAGTGCCATTTAATCTGAATTAAATGGCTTGTAGCCTTCTATAGTTAGGCTGATGTGAACAACATAGGGGAGCTCATTGGAACCCCCCTGGAGAACACAGACCGTATCCTGTTCGACTCCTCTGTTTGATTTCCATTGTCCCTGTATCCCTGCATTTTGCATCCAGTGCTGTTCAGAGTCTGAAATGAGTTCAGACCTGCCTCTAAATCAGACCCAGAGTAGGAATGAGAGCATGGAAACCAGCAAAAAAATAACACTAGTCCCTGCAGAACATTTAGACTGAGCCACACCCAGAACTGACATTTCAGTCTTGGATGGGCACCCAAGGGATGATGTCATCTGCCAGCTTCTTGTGTCTGCCAGCCCACTGGTGAGATCTTTGTGCAGTCATTTGTGTCCACGCCCATTCCCACAAGACCTAGAATGCCTATGGAGGGCAAAGCAACAGGGTCACTTGAAGTGTATCCAAGAAAAACTTTTGTTTTTAATAGAATAGGTTTGCATAGATATGCACATATGCATCCAGTGAAGAAATATCAATTGATTTCATCACTCAGTAGGCTAGGGGGAAATGTTTACATATTCTTACCACTCATCTCTCTACTAGGATAGAAAATGATGGGGAAACTCCAAAGTTTATAGGTGTCACCAGAAGAGGGTGTGAGGGAGAGGGTGTGAGGGAGAATCTTCCAATGAAAACATGGCAACTGTCCAAGGGGGGTTTTCCTTACATTGCAAGATGTCCTATCACATTGGGACAGGAAGTGAAGGGAAAGCTCCGTCATGCATTTGAACCTCTCCATATAAAAAGAAATGCTGTAGCTACACTTTAGTTGCTTACCACTAGGTCTGTTTGTTCCCTTGTTGTCCCCACTGACAATTTTAGATCTGGCATTTGGTCACAGAGGCACCCAGTGTTGTGATGTGGGGGGGTGAGTCACATGGTTGCCCATACCCAGAAGTACCGGGTATCTCACTTTGCTCCTGTCAGTGACGGTAAGGGGAATATCAGCAGTGATGGGGGGTGGGAAGAGTCTTTAGGCATCCAGTGACACATAACTGTGCAATGGCAGTTGGCAAAGCTGAGAATTCTAATATCACTTTCAACCTGGATCCTTGGGTATGTAATTCAGTGAGGGCTTGTTCACACCAAATGCAGACCAGATCTGCATGAGTTTCTGCACACGCAGTGCAGTGTGTTTTGCCGTATTCAGGGCCGTTTTGTAGTTTGAAATGTGCTTTCAGTGCGTTTGCATGTGTTTTTGATGCGTTTGCATGTGTTCCAGAGCAGGTAAAATAGGGCATGCTGCAGTTTTTTTTACACGCTCTGGAACTGAACGCTGCGGTGTGATCTAGAGCCCAAAATACCATTGGAATACATTGGACGCAGTTTTGATCCGGTCTGTAACTGCTCTGCTCCTGGAACGTGCTTGGTGTGAACGAGCCCTTAGCTAGATTCCGTGCAAATATCAGTTGTGGAAGGAGTTGTCTCTATGTTATATGCAAACCAATTCAATAAAGTTGCCAAAATGTAGCATAATATTACAAAGAACCTGCCTAGAGCAATAAAGCAAGCCTGTGATTATACAGTAGTGTCTTCATTTTTCTATTATTCTTCCTGCTAGTACATGCCGGGGCTTGCTGGCTTCTCTGCAGACAGCTGCACATAGCTTGGTCCGGTCTGCTTTACAATGAGCCATGGAAGTCATTTCAAAAGAGAACACAATGAACCACCGTTGGACGAGATCGAAAACAGAAATGATTTTCCTCAGGTGACCAGTTCAAGATATTTAAAAAGTTTGTGTTGAAGGTGTCGCAGTCAGAATGAATAATACATCCTCTTACCATGAAGATTTAATCCTTGCCTGCAGCGCTGTTCATATAGTGACCCAGTTACTGATTGTATTCTGAAAATCAATGTGTCTCTCATCCGCAGAATTCTAAGACAGTGTGGTGCTGACATCTACTGTTTACCCATGGTTGCTGAATCCTATGAAATTTATATTCATTAGCTTGTATAATTAATCCGCAATCACGTAGCTCAGTCAACCTTCTCAGAGACTACCTACAATTCTGCAGATGGAGCAGGCACTGCTAGACTAAATGACAGCTCAGAGATTTCCTTATTGGTGTGGTTTTTTTTGTCTCCTCGCTGTGCACAGGAATTTGTTTCTTCTCCCTTCCACAGTAGTTTGTGTCTCCTCCTTCCACCCTAGTTCGTGTCATCTTCCACCTCTACCACATTAGTTTGTGTCTCCTCCTTCTACGGTAGTTTGTGTCATCCTCTACCACAGTAATTTGTGTCCTCCTTCCACCGTAGTTTGTGTCATCCTCCACCTTTACCACAGTAATTCGTGTCTCCTCCTTCCACCGTAGTTTGTGTCATCCTCCGACTCTACCACAGTAATTTGTGTCCTCCTTCCACCGTAGTTTGTGTCATCCTCCACCTCTACCACAGTAATTTGTGTCCTCCTTCCACCGTAGTTTGTGTCATCCCCCACCACTACCACAAGTTTGTGTCTCCTCTTTCCACCGTAGTTTGTGTCATCCCCCACCTCTACCACAATAGTTTGTGTCTCCTTCTACCGTAGTTTGTGTCATCCCCCACCTCTACCACAATAGTTTGTGTCTCCTGCTTCCACCGTAGTTTGTGTCATCCCCCGCCTCTACCACAATAGTTTGTGTCTCCTTCTACCGTAGTTTGTGTCATCCCCCACCTCTACCACAGTAGTTTGTGTCTCCTTCTACCGTAGTTTGTGGCTCCCTCCTTACAACCACAGTAGTTTGCCCCACCCCCCACTACAGTTGTTTGTGCCTCCTCCCCCTACTTCAGTAGTTTGTGTCTCCCTCCCCTTCCATGGTAATTCGGTCTTCCCTCCACCACCACAGTAGTTTGTTTCTGCTCCCCCTACTTCAGTAGTTTGTGTCTACCCCCCCCCCTTTCACAGTAGTTTGACCCCTCCCCTTCCACACTAGCTGGTCTCCTGCCCCTTCCACTTTAGTTTGACTCCTCCCCTTCCACAGTAGCTTGTGTCTTCTACCCCTTCCACATTAGTTTGTGTCTTCTACCCCTTCCACATTAGTTTGTGACTCCTCCCCTTCCACATTAGTTTGCGACACCTATCCTTCCACAATAGCTTGTCTCCTCCCCTTCCACATTAGTTTGTGACTCCTCCCCTGCCACACTAGCTTGTGTCTCTAACCCAACCCTCTCGACCACCACCAATACAATTTGTGGCACCTTTCCCTTCCACAGTGGTCTCTGTCTCCTTCCCATTCCACTGTAATTTGTGAATCCTCCTACAAAGGAAACTTATCATGGAGAATAATGGAGATGGTGTTTGCTTACCTCCCATTAGAAAATGCTAGATGTCTGGCTGTCATTGTGGGTCACAAATCCAAAGCAAACGAGCACAGACAAAAAAGATGGGATGTAACATTTCCTACTTTATTTAAAAATAAAAGTTCAGGCTTGAGATACACAATTGAAAAGGCTCTGTAGACATACAGCTAATCCTATCCCTTGTTCAGTTATCTGAAATATTGAGAGGTGTTGCTGACGGCAGTACGGACCTCTCTCTCTCTCTCTCTCTCTCTCTCTCTCTCTAGGCTATTGACCCAGCTGACTTCTTCAGTATTTGAATAATCAATGTAAACAGAGCCAGCAAACAAATCCAAGAAACAGAGCAGTCAGCAGACTGCAGCGTGCATCCTCCATTCATTCTGATAAGACTTCTCTCTGGCTGTGAGCAGAGGTACGCCGGGTGTACCTGTATGTCTATAGTCTCCAACCCACAACAAATGAGATCGATTCTAAAACTGCAAGAAAGTAAAAATCACTCCTTAAAGGACCACAAAAGTTGTCATTTGTACTAAGCACTAAGTTTTTTCACAGGAATGTTAAAGCTGAACTCCAGGGAAAATCTAGCTTTACCCTGCAGTGAGGCTCCCCCAAACTGGAAGGGTAAATCTTTGTATTTGTCTAGGGTACCATTAATTAGCAATTTTACTTACTTCATCCCTCGCTCTCACAGACTTCCCCCTCTCTGTGCAATTGGCCCCTGGAAGCCGCTTCTCTTCGC